CAGATATTATCACCCTCGTCGCTAAAAGCACCAAAAAATAAATAAAAAAGTCTCTGAATGCCCCTGTGAGTGCTGTCCTTTCAATCAACAACAAAAAACAAACAAACAAACCCATGCAGACAGACAGCCTCTTTCTCGAGATTAATCAGATGGACAACAAAATGAATAAGTACATGACAACTCTGAAAAAACCAAAAAGTTCAATTACAAAATAAAAGAAAATGTGCATATAGAGAAATGTAGAGAATAGATAAGCCATATCAGAACACAAGATGAAGATGGGAAGTGAAATCTCGGAGATATTGAAATTTGCCAGGTCAGCGTGACGACATTGCTCATTTAACACAGAATAAACATGAAACTTTAGTTTCCATAGTAGGAATTTTCCAGCTTTGACAGCAAGTTGCCTTGATCACTGAAATCTTAGAAATGGCTTGTAAATGCTTAGTATGTAGTCATATGTATTTAGTATGCATCATCCATCCATCCATCTTACAACCACTCATCACAGACAGCTGAGGGATGTACACCTTATTATTAGAGAAATGTACAGAGAAATGAGTAACAAAAACAATATTATTATGAAATTTAATGTTCATACTTTACAGATTTGTACTTGCTTCATATTTTATATCAGTTAAGAATTTCTTATAAGAATTTTGAAAGTGATTTAATGGTGAAACCCATATACAGGTTTATAATCAATCCTGAAATCCTTTCATGATGATCCACCTCACATCTTTTTTTTTATTTTTTTTTAAATGCTGCATGAAGTTTACCTTGAAGCTGCTTTACATGCACATGGAACAACACGCTTGTAACAGACATGTCTTTGTTTTTTTTGTTTTTATTTTGCTAGAAGAGATTGCATATGATGAATTTTAATAGCAGATTATTTTAATCTTGATATGTTTTAACCTTCAATGGATTATCTCAACAGAAATGTACTGCGACGCTGTACACCTTCAAAAATTTAACCATGGCAATGCAGCAGATAACTGAAAAAATAAAATATATCCATATAAAATACAAATAAAATTAATATTTTAATCACATCAATAAGACTAATAACATTTCTAATAACATTGTACAACTATTTACTACAAATGGACAGCAACTTAAAATATTAAGTAAAATATTAAAAGTTAATCATAAGACATAAACAAAAATATATATTCCCTAAGGGGCTGCTTTTGTACTTTCCTGCAAATCATTTTAAGAGCTCGGCACACCTGCCCTCCGTCTTCTCTGTGTCATGTGCTTTGTAAACTCTAGGCTTATGTGCAGAATAAGCGGTTGTGATGGATGGATGGATGGACATATGGATGGACATATGAATGGATGGATGGATGGACATATGGATGGATGGACATATGGATGGATGGACATATGGATGGATGGACATATGGATGGATGGACATATGGATGGATGGACATATGGATGGGGCAGCACCGTACTGCAGTGGTTAGCACTGTTGCCTCCCACCTCTGGGGACTCTGGGTTCAGGTCTCTGCCATGACTCCATGTGTGTGAAGTTAGTATGTTTTTTCTGTGTTGTGGGGTTTTCTCCAGGTACTCCAGTCCAAAAACATGCTGAGGTTAACTGGAGTCACCAAATAGCCGATAGGTGTTAGTGACTGGTGTGTGAGTGTGCCCTGTGATGGGTTGGTGCCCTGTGATGGGTTGGCGCCCTGTGATGGGTTGGCGCCCCATCCTGGGTTATTCCCTGCCTCGCACCTGTAGCCTCTGGCATGAGCCCGACCCCCTGTGACCCTGAATAGAATATAAGCAGCTGCAGAAAAAGGATGAATGGATGAAGGGGTCCTCTTAGTCCCTTCATGTTTCATTAGGTTTCCCCTTATGCCAAGATAACAGCAGGATCTCCTGTGCTAAGGCTAAGCACGACATGAGGTTCTTACTCTCCAGGTCTATCCAGGTCTTCCATAAGAAAGATGTGCTTGAGTTCTCACGTAAGAGATTTCTCTGGCCATTGCAATGTTCTGCTCAGTCTGCTATCTATCTGTACAGTTTTTGTTTACCCAAGTTGTTTAAGTCAGCATCTTATCACCATAAGATCATACTGAACGGCTTGCAGAGAGCAAAATCATTCACAGTATGTGTGTTTCCCGCCTGCCCCTGTCCACTTGCCTTTCCCTTGGGGTCCTTAGTTACATCAGCTCACTTTCTCACTATGATCGCTGGGCATTGGTAGTCCCACTACACAATAATTTCTCAATGTCCGTTGTTCACAGTACAGTAACTCTTCAAGAAATAGATTATCATTTATAAAGTCACATCTGTCAGAACCTCAAACCACCTTTCTAATACATCAGTTAACAAACACATGTAGTGAGTTTAATATCTTATTTTTAATGCCCGAATACATTTATTTATTTGAATCTCTGTGTGAAATTCTAACCATGACCGAAATCCAAATGGGAATATTATTAAGTCCTTGGTATTTTTTTTTTACTCATTCCACATGTAATCACTGTTTCATGGTTACCATCTCATTCCAAAGTCTTCACAATTTTGCAGTGAATTGGAGCATACAATATTTCCATTTCAGACGTAGTTTAGGTAAAATCATAAATTCATTTTTAATAGCATGCAATTTATTAGATCCAAAGGAAAGCTGTGAGAATATAAGGATGAGCATCACTGAGAAATGTCTATGTTAGGGAAACAGGTCAGGCAGCTGATTAGTACATACTGAAATTGCAGAGAGCTCTGCATCTATCTATCTGTCCGTCCGTCCGTCTATCTATCTATCTATCTATCTATCTATCTATCTATCTATCTAATCAAAATAGATATTTTTGCATTAAAGAGTTGAGATTAGTCTTATATAAGTAGTTTCTGCATTGAAGTTGTCAGTTCTATATTATTGTTTTACTTCTAAGTATTGCTTTTTATGATTTTTAAGCATTTTAAAAAGTGTACAATGTATCCATATTCTAAATATTATTATTTCAAGGTGCTTAAAAGCATTGTCTGAGATGAGTTGTATTTTAAAAATAGGACTTTTGATGACAGACCTGAACAAGGCCTTGGTTTCCAGTCTGGGCTGAGTGGATTCAGACTTTAGTTTGTTTAACTTGAACTAGCAATTGCTCAAAATAACTAATTAAATAACAAATTAAACAAATGCCTAGCCCTAGGTCAGCAATGGTTTTTAATCATAACCTGTTCCTGATAAGGTACATTGCGTGAAACTAAAAATTAAGAAGGAATTAATAAACATGACGCTGTGTGAATAAAAAGGATTCATTTTAAAGGGAACGCTTTCAGTCAAGAATCTATGCAGGACACATGAGGAGAGCATTTTGCATGGACTGCCAGGAGTGAATGCATTAGACTCAATGCTTTCAATGCAGAATAAAATCATACTGCACTTGTCTGCCTTGATGCATTATTAAAATGTGAATGCAAAAATATGAAGTACCACATTTATAAATATATATAATATGATGCTGAATTATAATGTTATTCATGTTAAATTTATTTACTTTTGGCTACTAGGCAAACTATTCATGAGCTGGAGAGTGGGAAAAAAATTATAAAATATGAATATATTAAAGTGCTTTCTCGCTAAGGCTAGTAATCATTGGTTTGAATTTCACATTGAAACATGTTTAACGACTGCATTATATTAATAGATTATACTTGCATTTCATGATTAAAAACATGCTATAATTACCTGAAACCGTTTCATGGCGATTATTAAAGGAAGCTGTGCTACTTAAGTAGCATAATGATTCATCAATACACAGCAGCATTACGTAAGAAAAGAAATTAAATTAAAAAATAAATTCAATAAATTAACAGAGACACTATGGCCTTATAAAGGAGGTCAGCAAATACACAAATGTCTTACAGTTTTTCTTTTAATTTCTTAAAACAAAATTGTCTGCTAAAACAATGACTGTCCACTATCATGAATATCTAGCTGACTATAAATCAATACTGAATATTTATCATCACCTGGGCTTGTATAGTACAGTCAACAGGCAGTATTTATATCACTCTATGTGTCTACGACACACGTCTCTTCAGAATCTCACAACACTCAGTTTTAGGATTTTGCACAGTAATAGTAGCTTGAAAATGATTTAATTGTACACTTATGGGTAAAATAACATGTTATTCTAGGGATCATTTATCATATTTTTTGCAAAAAGAATATAAAATGTATGCATTATTAAGAAAACTGAAACAATATTACTAATAGCAAAATCATATTTGTTAGGCTAAGGCCGTCAATATCTACACACTAATATTGTGTTTTATTAATAGATTGCTAATTGTGTAACGCACTGAGACCATGTAATCTTTTTTAACAATCTTATGAACCATTATGCAGTATGTTTGTTGATTATTGTACTATGAAGCACAATGGTTACCATGACGCTATAGATGACGTGAATGCAGTGGGGGTGCAGAATAAATGGTACAGTGATATCTATTAGAGGCACAGATTACTTTGTCCATAAAGCATATACACACATTGAAAATCTCCATTTTCAAAGGCTACTCCAATGCATTTTGAATTGTCTTAGCAATACCTGAAAACTCAGAGCTTAAAACATTTAAGCCAACATTTTTTAACTCAGATCCAGTTTAGTATAATTTATGTTATATGCATTACTTATGAAGCACATTTCCTAATTTCATTGACCACTGAACATACAATACTGGAAAACTAGCAAGAAAAAAGTAGAGATTGGGCAAATAATTATTATGGTAGCATTAAGTCAAGACCCTGCAGTGGGAAAAAGAGGAAAAATTATAGTTACCATTTTACTTGCTATATCCTTAGTAAACAGCATCTTGACATCACATTTGCATCCCACTGCATCCATCCATCCACCATCCATCCACCCGTTGCCTAAAGCCGTCTCACCAGTGCACAGTCCAGTGCAAAGTCATTTTGCTGCTGTTATTATTTTAATGTACCATCAATAAGGACTAAATCCCAAATGCACAGAACAAAAACAGATTCGTTCTGGAAACTTTATTTGAAAATACAAATGGCTTCTCATTGTGCTTTGAGAATTGTGTTCACAAATGAGGCACACAGAGTGCTTGCTTATCTGAATACAGCCTACGTACAGCCTCAGCTAAAGCAGTGTTGTTCCAAACTGTGAACACTTAAAAAACAGTGATAGGCAGTCTCATATACGGATTGAATCTTCCCCTGAAAAAAAAGCAATCATCTTTTGCCACAAGACGCTGGTTCTCTCTCACCTACTGCGGTAAATTATGCAGTTTTATTTTTAAAGTCTGCCTGAACAAGAAGATGGTCTTCTTAGGAAGCCATGAGTCGTGCTCGCGAAAATCATATTAAACATTGCATTCTGCATGGGCTAATAATAATAATAATAATAATAATAATAATAATAATGGTTGTATTGTTATTATTATTATTATTATTATTATTATTATATAGCTTTACATTGCAAAGGAAGTGAGATGTCTACATTTACATAGAAAACATCAACAACAATACATCCACTTATATCATTTTCTACATAATTCTTCTGCGTATAACATTGGTTCTTCAATGTTCTACAGCTGCATGTAAGCATCACTGATTGAGCTGGTCTCTTTCAGATATCAAAAGCCTTTTATTTCACTGTCTCTGCTGCAGTGGCAGCTTTAACTGGAGTGACTTTGCATCTGCTGGGAAAGGTGGATGTAAATCACAGTGCAGAGATGCAGATAGGTTACTTGACACACTCAAGGAAGCAATACATCAACTTGTTGTTTGGTGCAAACAACCTGAGGTATGACTGGAGTGTGTGACACTGTTGTTTCCATTTATCAAATAACAGGGTTACTGCAGGTCTGCATATGGAAGAGTAATGCAATAACACACTGAAGTTAATAAATAATAATACAAAAAAAGGTTAAATGTATTTTTTCAGAGCAGGATCCACAACCCTACTCACTGGAGAAGGTAAAACAATCAATAATACTAGACAAAAACTAGGATATTTAGGATTTTGAATATTCTCTATGTGTATGTAGCATTTATTGAGACATTCTTATACGATAATAATCATTACTGTAAAGGAAGTTTATTAATAATAATCAGTTTCTTGCCAAAGCATATCAGGACAAATCCCCGCCCCCATCTCCAGTCCAATGAAATGGCTGCCAGGGACCTTGACCCGGAAACGCAAGGCTGGGCTACCTCTCTATATTCTAATTACCTTTGACTTATGATATCTGCCTTTTCCACCATCCTCACAATTATATATGAAATTACATGACAGAACATTAAATGTCCTGTTGCAGTCTCTAACACAGTAAATCTTCTCTGATTTGGTGATTATCTGTGTAATGAAAAACCGGGGAGAGTGCGTTAATTATTTCACAAGATTTAAAGCAATCATTCTGGTCAGGGTAACATCAGTACTAATATACCTGCTAGGAAGCCCACGAAATCAGCCCAGGGACCTGTAAATCCCCCCTGAACTGAAAAATGCATGCTCTCTTTGACAAATAAGTGATGAATTTAGTATAGTCCTTCACTTAAATGAGGAGTACAATTAGAATATTCTTTGATTTCCCTTAAGCCTAACCCATAGTCATACATAAGGACAGATTAATGTTCAGATACTAGCAATTAATCCTAAAAATCAATGTTGTACATGTATGGGTTATGGGAACACACACACCACACACACACACAACCTATTGTTGTTTAGACCATGGATATTTGCATAAGAGTTATATCATCAAAGTTGTATGAGATGAATATCTTCATACAACAGTAGGCAAGCCACACTCTCCAGATATTTTAAATTGAAAGAAAATGGTGTATTCTCATTTAAGCATATCTATTTCTAGAATTAACTAGGATATGACTCTTGCATCTGAACATTACAGTAAAACACACACACACACACACACATTTGTATTCATATCTTTCTGGGGACTGTCCATTCATTTGGGCAAAACCCTAATCCCAACAATGACACCCTTAACCAGCCCTAACCTTAACCATAAGTAACTAAACAAAATACAAGACTTGTGGCATATTTAGTTTTTTGATTTTTAGTCCAAGATTTTTATAAATTGGCAGTTATCGTTGTAGTCACCGAAAAAATGTCCCCACAACTTAAAAAGTTATGTTCCCACAAAGAAATAATTACAACACACACACACACACACACAACATCTACACACTCTCCAAACCATATAGGGACATTGTTCAACTCAATAACAAGGAGATAAAAAATGGTTAAAAAAATAATCAACATTCTCTATTGCATGTCAACTGAAACAAACTATTTTAACTTAATTTCTGTTTGTTTAATTAAAGTATGGAATGACACATGTAGCTAGACCAAATACAGCACTATATCATTTGAAAACCACTGTATCGCTTTTAGTAATTATGGTAAAAGTATATCCAATAAGTTTAGTATGTGCAATAAACCTCTGTAATTACAGAATGATTACAGAAGCACATTTAAAGACTCAGTCTAGTCAAAGTTAAGATTTTCCTAATTACACTGTATTTTTACAATAGTTTGTAAGAATAAGAGGCAGAGGGTACATGATGAGCACTGTATCCATGATGAGCACTGTATCCATGATGAGCACTGTATCCATGATGAGCACTGTATCCATGTAATTGTCAGTTGAAAATAAAGAGGCTTCGGCTGAGCAAGTTGGGATCCTTTCTTGACATTGACAACAAACCTCCTCTGAATGAAGAATTGGCTGTACTGCTTGAAGTAAGGGTTATCAATCAAGATTGAGACAGAAAATTCATGAATGACACAGGCTCATCTATACAGATTTGACATTTTTCCCCCTGCAGCAATGCATATGAGTGTTTGCTTTATCTAGAGTTTGGAAACCGAAATGATTTGATTAGGGTGGGACCAAAAACCATTGATGAAAATAATTTTTTTGGTGACACGTAATGAACATTCAAAGGATACTTCGCTGTCACCCCAAGAATATTACAGCAGCTGCCACTAGGGAAATGAATAAATGTCCATTGTTTTCTTCCCAACACATACATGTTTGTAGTAACCAGACATCATACAGTGGCTTTTGTTAACACATTTTGGTGAAAGTAGTAAAGGAAAAATAAAACTAAAGAAAGAAAAGGCGTCACTAATCCTCGTATCAAAATAGGTGATATGTTAAAATGTAAGCATTAGACAACATAATTATGACATTATTATTTAAGATTTTAAATGTTTAAAAAGTTAATAGGAATGAAAATACAATTTATTCTCATTCGTCTATGATAAACCTCTTCGACCTCCTGTTTCCAAAAATGCTGAAATCTCCCAGTCCACGTTTTATTTATGGAACATAGATTTTTTTCTTACACCAGGGTTTGCGAACGACAAAGTTAAGGTGAATATATAAACTACAGTACTGTAAATGATCTGAAAAGGCAACACAGAATTTTACAGATATTCATGACATGTGACCTATATAACTGAGGTTAAAAAAAATCTTAAAGGAACAGATAAAAATTTGTGATGGTACATGACAGATTTCAGGTAAGTATGACAATAAATATTTACTTACAGGGAAGAACCAAAAATGTTCTGCACAGTAAAATGTACTGTTATATTATGTTTAATCAGAATGAGAATTATAAACATGTGATTCACAATATATGTGTGGTTATACTCATTGCAATGCATTTGGGTAAAATTACCTGTATCTACAATAATTTGTATTTAATAAACATTTATTATTGTTTTTTTTTATAATGAAAAAGTATCATCAGTTGCAGATCACAACCCATATATTCATCAAGTAGAATGTAGAGCATTTTACATCTGTAATGTAATGCATTTTTAAAAATAATCATTGTGTAGTCCGGCACGATCCCTTTACTGATCTTTAAAGTTTGTGCCAAGGCATTCTCCAACGAGAAGCACATCGGAAAGGAAAATACTATTTGATATATACAGCATTTCAAAACTGGCTGAATGTTGTCTGTTTCTCAAGAACTTCGAGGTAGTCCGGCTCAGCTTGAAGTTTAGCTTTTAGTTCCAAATATTTGTTTCTGCTGGGCTCCACATACACAGTACTTGGTGCTGTGCTGTACAGAACTGTCTCTGGTACCCTTTCTGGGTGCAAAAACTGTCGCCTGACTTCGTAGTTCGGGGTGTAAATGTATGGGGCGGGCCCGCTAAACTTGTATTCAAAAGCATTTCCAGAAGGCGACTGTTTGTCAGCATCAAGAATGCCTCTGAAAAAATTATCAGCATCTTGCACGGGGGATGGATTCTCTCGCGGTTCAATTGTGCTCACGCTGTACGTGGTACTTCTCAGATCACTATCCCTGTCTTCATCAGCATTATTTTTGTATGTCACTTTTAACTCATGTAAGTCTCTATAATCCTCCACGGCGTTGCCTTCTCGGGACCTGTAAATAGGGTTTTTGCACATATGACCCATTGTGTGTGGAATATACTCATAAACATGCCCAGCTGGGTTTTTCACTTTTGGGCCAGACCTATTACTATAGAGGCTGTACTGCAGATTAAAGGAGCTGACGTCAGAGTTATTGTTGCTGGTACGGTCGTTTTGAGTCTTTTTGCGTCGCTTCATGACAAGGACGAACAACCCTGCGGCGATGAAAACAGATAATATAAACACCAGAAGGAGACTCAGGATCAGGACGGAGAGCGGCACCGTATTGGATGGTTTTTTGTATCTCAGGGAATTTTGTACGGTTGTGGCAATGTCTGGAAAAGAGTCTTCAGATGGAGGCACTGTGGAAGCAATGACATCAGAGTAATCGGGACACAGGAGATCCAATCGGATGGATCGCATGTCCTCCCCAGACAGTCTCTTCGGAGATCCACATATCACGTCATTAACAACAGTGCCCGTATTGAGCTGCTCCAGCCAGATCTTCATGCCCACCACATCACAGGAACAATCCCACGGGTTCTCATACAGATCTATCTGTACCAGTGATTTCAGCTGATCTAACACACCACTCACAGGAAGATTCTGGAAATGATTGCTGCGAAGATTAAGTCTAGCTAGATTTAAACCGGTAAAAACGCCTGCAGGTAAGGTTTTTAGAACGTTGTTATTGAGGAAAAGCAGCTGGAGTTTGGGTACATACTGAAAGGTACCTGACACAATTTCTCTGATCACGTTGTATTCTAAATACAAGTACTGCAGGCTTTGCAACCCATAAAACATATCCGCTGTGAGGCGCTCAATTAAATTGCCGTTCAAGTACAGCCTACGCAAGTTTGTTAAATCCCCAAAGGCTTTGTCATGTATGTGGGCTATTCGATTGTTACCAAGGTGAAGCAAATCTAATCCGGTGGCTTCTATGAAATCAGATCTGAGTACGACAGGGATATAATTCCCAGTGAGGTACATCTTTTTCGGATTGTATGGTTTCGGCTTCAAGTCAGAGATGCTCTCAATCTTCCTCTCCTGGCAGTTAACATTCAGTCCGAGGTCAGATATTTGTAAATTACATGAGCAGGCAGTGGGGCAGTCCAAAGGCACTGGAGATTTAGTTTGATAAGCAATTATTGGACCATAATTATACGGAATGCGAGAGGTGGGTTTTGACCTTGATTTGCTTGATTGGCGGGTGCCCTTTGTCGGCCTTGACGATGACCGTAACACTGCAGATGAGGTGACAGAGGCAGTCACGGCAACAGGGGTGGTTTGGAAGTATCCAATCGTGCTCAAGGGTGGCTGGGGCCGCATGTCGTACTCAGAAATGGCTCTCCTGGGACATAACTCCTGCTTGGAGACCTCGTCCAGGTCTCTCCCGTGCAGCCGGAAAGGTGAATCGCAAACAACCTCCCCAACTAGTGCAGTGTAAGCAATGCTCTCCAACCAAGCCTTCAGAGCAATAAGCTCACATGAGCAATTCCACGGGTTCTCTTCCAGTCGTATTTCCACAACTTTGTCCATGTGTTCCAGAAGCCCCACATAAGGGAACATTTTCAACCGATTTCCCCTCAGATCAAGGTGAGTCAAAGGTACATATCGGAATATGTTGGTGGGCAGAGCAGACAATAAATTGTCATTTAGAATGAGAACTTCTAAAGTATTCAATTTGCTAAATGCATTAGATTCTATATTAGTGATGTAATTGTAATCAATCTGCAGATATTCCAGATTCTCAAGGCCAAGAAAAGTATCATCCCTCAGAAGATCTATCTTGTTATTGTTAAGATGCAGTCTCCTTAATCCTTGAAGTCCATTGAATGCTCCAGTTTCAACTTCTGAGATGTCATTGTTACCTAAATGCAAAATTGTTACACCAGTATAATTGATAAAGTCATTAGCAGAGAGTCTTTTCAAGAGATTTCCTGTCAGTAACAGATGATACATTGGGAAATGCACTGGACTTATTTCAGACAGTCTGACAATTCCTCTGTTCTCACAGCTCACAGTCAGAATCCCTTCTTTCTCTTCACAGGTACAAAGGTTTTTACAAATCTCTCCATAACCGTCATACATCTGAACGAAGCTCAGAGAGGTGGCAACAAATAAGATGATTTTCAATATCCAGATATGCATTTTCACAAAAAAGGACGGCTAAATTTCTGCAGTAGAAATATGTAGTTTCATCTAGAAAAAAAACGGAAATATTTTCTGTTTAAGAATCATACAAGAACACAAACAAAATTAACTATATGCAAACAGTACTACAGGAAACTAACGCAATGCATTGTCATTGTAAATCCATAAATATTTACAGCGCGCTTCGCAGGTTTTAATTTAAAAATTGTAATATTAAAAAGAAAACCCCCCTTTTCCGGATCTGGTCACGATTCTTCGATCCTTTAACATCTTAGAGAAGTATGTATCTCTCTACAGTGAGCAGTCTCTAACATGGCCCCGAAATAGGCTACACACAGCACCCGCCTGAACATACAAGCTCATGTATTGCTAGGCATTACAGGGAACTATCCATTTTGCATGAACAACTAAAATGCATGATAAAGATCCGAAATAAGAATTATTTTATTTTTTGCGCTGCACCGTACGGCAGTTCAACCAACTGCAAACCGGCTAATATGTCATGATCACAAACTAAACCAGTTAATGGAGTACATCGTATAATTAATTAACGCGTTAAATAACTTAATATATAAGCAGGGATATATTACGTTTAAATCAATTTCTGTATTTAGGAACACAGACGTAGTTCACTTTGCCGATTCGTACACTCACGCATACACACGTATAAACATAAGTAGGCGTAATATTAGTAAAGCCGTATTTTAATGTGTGCCTTCAATATAAGCAGTGCCGCAGTCAGAAAAAGAAGAAAATCCAAACCACAAAATAAAACAAATAAATAAATGCGCAATTATTCCCCATATATGTTCTCTTTACTCACCCTGCATATCCGATGACTTGAAAATAGTATCGCAACTCCTGTATATCAACCGATTTCTTCGAAAATATTGTAATATTTGCCTATCAAAGGATGGTAAGCCGGTGCATTTATCATGGGAAATGTTCATCGCCAATCTCGCAAGACTAGAAATGCTGATCGCAACAGCGGCGATAGTCACAGCCCATCATCCTTCAGGAAATAAATAAATAAGACAATAAATAAATAAGCAGCCGACTTGATTAGAATCACACGTGAATGGGCCACGTCACTGATTTAATGTCCAGCATTTCATAATGATGAGGAAAAATAAAAGTACATCAGAGCCTTTTCTCTGTAGCGTATCCGGTTTGTGTCGAAGAATCTTTTGATTTACACAAATTCTCTGGTCCGCTCCTCCTCGCCTCCTCTATCACGCACACACACTCTCCCCCTTTCCTCCCTCTCTCTCCTTCTCCCTTTATCCGCGGCAAAAGAGTCCGTTTTAGTCTGAAAAAGCTTTTCCTGCAGAATCCATGATACATGACGCGCATCGTCTAGCTGAGACGATGGCAAAATTATTCAGACTTACTCATCTCAGTGTTATGCCAACCTGCCAATCGCTTCCAAACGCGCTATATATATATATATATATATATATATATATATATATATATATATATATATATATTTCCCCTCTAAACTATTACTCCGAGTATTTCTTCTCTATAGAAAATTCACCTCGAATAACTTCTTAGTTTCCCTTGATAAACGAAATTGTTTCCAAGGCCAAAGACAGAAATGCTTTTAAAAAATTGTAACCATAAGAGGACTTCCAAACAACCGGACATAAATTAGGAATCTGGTAGATTCTACAAAGGCCATAGAATTTGGTATCATTCCGTCGGTCTGCGGAGTGCGATCGAACGAAAATGAAATCGCTTCCCTTTTTCATATATGTGTATTTTCACTATTTTGTGTGATCCGGTGCCTGTCTGATATGTGTCGGTGACGGGATGCATTTAAAAGCACCATAAGAGAAAATCATTTATTTCCCGAAACGCGCAAACAACACAACTATAAGTACAAAATGTCGATTTCTTACCAGGTCGGACTTCTTTAATGTAAAAAAATAAGTATCACAGTGTTTTCTTCCCATCTTTACTTGTTGTTTTAGCTGTCCTTTGCTCGACTGTGAAATCCTTAAAGTAGAGTTTCGCAGCTCTTTGGCCGCACGCTGCAAGCACTGAATTGCCTCATTCACGCCGGCAAACGTGACGGCAGACCCGGTAGAGCGCATACTGTTTTTCCCATAAAAATGGACAAAATCAAGTTTTACAAAACAAAGGAGTGTAGTGTTGGCTGAAGTAAACAAGAAATCCATGCATCATTTATTTATAAACCGACGCCGTGCTCCGTTGAAAAAGAAAAAAAAGAAAATTGTATGAACCGGCATGGGAGGCTGTCCCCCAAAATCCTGCGAGTGGTACGGGTGGCATCGCTGTGCACACAGATCTGTCATTTTATTCCCAGTCAACGGTTAGGTCCAATTTTTTAAATATATCTGTAGACATCTATATTTATATATGTATTGCTTTATCTGAGCCATCACAATGGAATATTAGAATAAACCAAGTAAAATCAACTGATTAGGGGGTTGAACAATTTAAAGCTTGATACGTCTTTCTATTTCTTCAAAGCTTCCAATTTCTCAGTGGGAGGGGGTTGGGGGGCGGATCAGGTCATACCTATAGAGGGCAGTGCTGCGATGTATTGGGAAGCCTTTTTGCGATGCCTTTCGTGTTGGGTGTTGATTTGATATGGCCATTAGCGCAAAAACAAATACATAAACATATGGTAAGACAAAGGTTAGGTGGTTGAAGGAGTTTCAGGCCAACTTAATTGCGCCTTGAAATTCCCTTTAAACCCCAGGTTTTGGTATGTACTTGTAAAGTAGTGTATATTACAAATGCTGCATAATATAATAACAGTAATATCTTAATGCAGCTGTTCTTCAAGTAGGTTTTTTGCCTATGATCAGTCAAGGTCAGTCTTTTAAGACAGAAGTCAATTTCTGTTAGCCGACAGGGTTTTCAAATTATGTGATTAAACGTATGGATTGGTGAGTTAACGAAAGTCTGGAATGCTGTTTTGGAATATTTTGCATATATATTTATATATATATAGCCTTCCAAAAGGTTAGAGGTTTCTCAACTACTGTATAACTAAAGAGCCAAAAGATTAGCTTTCTTTGGGGGTGGTGAAGCACAGGATGACCTAGTAATGTATGTTTGTTTTTTTGTTTATTTATTTCATCCATTTGTCTTTTACAGTCAAATGTGCTATCTATCATTATTGACTAGCAGGTTTGATACACTGTCAGAAAAAAGTACCAATTTGTACCTTTAAGGGTGCAGCTAAATGTCCCTGGGGCTACACCCTCAAGGGTCTGCCAATTGTACCCTAGCTCTAGGTAAATGAACCTTTTAAGGTACAGAAATGGACTCTGAGGAACATTTTTGTACCATTGGTGGTACATTAATGTTGTTGGTACCTCGAGGAACAAAACTGTACCAGGGCTGCACCCATCTACTGTAGATGACTAATAATGACTAGACTCAAGTACATTAGCATGAGGTCTCATATCCAAAATCACAATGCAACATTGTTGGCTTGAACAGACAATGGGTCTTCAAGCAAATAATGACAGGTGAAAACAAGCAAATTTAAATCTCGATCCAAATCCATAGTCCAGACACAGGCAGAAGGTAACAGTGTTACTCAGCGCAACACAGGAAAATCACCAAATCAGAATCACAGGATAAAGAGCCATAAATCCAGAAGAATAAACAGACGTCATACACAGCAATAGGGGCAAACACAAAACAAGCCCTCACTATGGTGAAACATTCACTGCTTCATAAAGATGTAATTGAACACCAGGTGCTTTTAAACCCTGCTAATTAAATCAGGTTGATGAGCTACAGGTGTGAGAGGCAAAGGAGGAACAACCTGAGCCTGGCAGAATAGACTCTTGGTTTGATGGGGGGGAATGACAGCAGCCCACCTTCATTGGGGGGGAGTGCCAGAAGCGACTAAGCCACTAAGGTGAGGAGTAGGATGATCAGGCTGAGCATGCTGGGTATTCTCAGTGACAGACAAGATATCAGGGACAGGCAGACCCACAAATGGCCATAGTCCATAGTCCTCTCGGTCCACCAGGTACTGCAAGTACAGCATGGTCTGAACTGAGTATTCACGTTCTCCTCCAGCATCTGAAGGAGGAGAAGATTTAGCAGCGATAAAAATGGGGGTCACTGCACTGTAGAAAACTAGTTTTAGCAATGATTTATGGCATGAAGTAGAAATACAGAAACAGGATGGCAATTGCAAAGAATAGGTGATGCAGCTGATAGTTTTGACAGTTTTTAATGGGTTAAAATATTCTGTATGTATCTCCACAAACCTCTGGAGTTGAACATGTGCTCTCTCCCAAATCTGGCCACTTCATTTAAATCACTCAACAGCTGGGGCATTATCTGCCTCCATTTCCCACAGGAATACACTGCCAGAAAAAGGGTACAGCCCTGTTACAGTTTGGTACCCAACGGTGCAAACAACAGTAATGAATCCCCGGTGATACAAAAATGTTCCTCAGAGGCCGGTACGTTTCTGTACGTTAAAAAATATGTTTATCTACAGCTAGGGTACAATTGGCAAACCCTTCAGGGTACAAGCCCAGTGACAAGTAATGGTGCCCTGAAAGGTACAAACCTGGTACTTTTTCTGACTGTAGAAGGAGCTGGGAAATGGTTAAATGGTTAAGCATAAAGAGGTAGAAACTAGTGAGATCTGCATATTTTGCTCAATAAAGATAGCAGCTCTAATCCATTTCACTTGAGGAGAAATACTACCTTAACGAAAATCTGATTTCTTGTTTCAGTCACTTCATCTGGTCATTAGACTGAGAATGATACCTAGGAGACACACACTGCCATGGATTCCCACTGGGACACTGAATATTTCCCAAATATAATGTGTGTATTTTGACCCTTGGTCCAAGATATTGTCTTTTTTCATCCAAGAAAAACAACAACAAAACTTGGTTAAATGATACTTAATTAAAGGTTAGCTTGGTTAACTAGTTCATTCATTGTACTTAGCAGAGGAACTCAGGCATATCTGTAGGTAAACGTTTTTGACTGAACACAGACAGGACAAGGGAGCAAAGAACCACTTAGGTCCTCTGGAAAAGATGTGGCCTCCTGAACATTTGGGATAGAAGCTATGTGTTATGGGTGATTCAAAGATGCCTGGCACTCAGGGATTTGTACACCAGTTGGGGAAGCAGCTGGGGAAAAATCCAGGTTGAAGTCCTGTTAGGTGGAGGATACGAGGGACTTGGTTTCACGATAAGCTTCTTGCTTCCATGAATTCCCTTCAAATGGGAGTCACCACACACAAAGCAGACCATAGGGTTTTGGAGACTGCAGGATCTTGAGGTGCTGCAATGATGGGAGATGGCATCTACATTGGTGATTTTTGATCCTGTAAAATAAAATAGAGGGATGAACAGGGCATGGGTTTAGTGTCTTTGCCTCTTAGATATGTTGCAGGTCTTGATGATCTATAAAAACCACAAAAGGGTAAATTACCACTTCCAATGAATGCTCCTACTCATCAAGTGTCAGTTTGATGGCCAGCAGCTCACTGGTCTCCATGCAATGCATAGGGGAAGAGTTTTGAGGGAAAGACATGGTGTTGGAATAAAATGACTCCCATATCTACCTTGGAGGCATCTACACCTCCATGCCAACTGGAAGAATTGGGCTATGTTGCTTCTGGATGGGTGTGGAAATGAAGAGAGTCTTGAGATGATGGAAGGCAGTGAGTGCTGAGTCATGCCACAATATCTTCTTAGTAGTCGTGTGCATTAGTGAGGGTGGTAACTTTTCTAAAATTCTCTATGAATTTCTGGTAGAGATTTGCAAAGGCTACGAAGTGCTGCAATTTTGACAGTCTAGGATTCAGGCTAGCAGTGAATGAACGATACCTTTTTATCATCCATTCAGTCTCCTATCAGTCCTACAACATAGCCTAGAAATGAGAAGGTGGATTTGTGAAATGCACATTTTTTGGCCTTGGCATACAGTTGTTTTCTTGGAGTCAGTGCAGAACTTGGCCTACGTGATCCTTGTGGGTGAATAGGTGACATTAGTGGTCCTTCCTGGATACTAAAACATGCCCCAACTACTGAGGGCAAGACCAGGGATTGAGGAGGCTGACAACAAAGATTACGTGCGTCTTAAGGTAGATCCATGTGAGTCAGTGTTAGAGGTCAGAGTACATCTCCGGTCATGTTACAGGTTGTCTTTAGAGATTGACATCAGACTAAACAGATGCAGGCTGTGCATATCACCTGGATTTGTAAGCTTGGTCTGCAGATTCATATGTAGTCGACTGTGATAAATAGGAAGTGGGGAAGGTTCCTCCATCCATTTCACACTACTAAAATGTGAAATTCCACCCTATAGTCTGCT